ACAGGGTGATTGGCCTTTGGAATGGGTTGCCTTCAGATGTTGTAGAAGAAGTAATTTGAAGTGAGTTTAAGAAAAAGCTTGATAAGTATATGAATGATAATGGCTGGCTTTAAGATTTTTTTACAATTATTTTAATTGTGAACTTAATAATAGCTTAGAAAGCTTTATATATTTCATTATATAACCAGAGATTTACAGACATACTTAAAGTTTAAATGTTTGGGAGATCTGATTATATTGTAGTTGTTTTCTATCTTATAAAACTTTATTTTTTATTACAATACAACTTTGCTTACATGTAGAGCCTGTGCCACCCAAGAAGGAAGTTTTCATTACTCCAAACACAACATCTGTTACCTTACACTTAAACAAGTGGGATGATGGAGGGTGCCCTATTTTTAAAATGTCAGTTAAGTACAAAATGCAACTATCTTCAGAGTGGACAGTTATAGCTACAAGGCTAAAACCTGAAGAAGGAGCTATGACCCTACATGACTTGAGGCCAGAAACCTGGTACAATATTCAAATTACAGCACACAACAGTGCAGGCAAGACAGTAGCTGAATACAGTGTTTTGACATCAATATACTCTGGAAATGGAGGTATGTTTGTCAAAAATTAGATTTATTATTATGAGCACATTTAAAACAAATGACGATGATTATTTTTTATTAAAGAGCTTATCTTTTAAATATTTTATTGTCTTGTTTTGTATATTTTATCCTTAATTGAAACATGTGTATTACATAGATTTTATTGTCTATTTTAATATTTATTGTTTTCTGAAATAAAATTATTTGTAAGTATAGCACTTTTCGGAAAGTAAACTTTGGTAAGTTATAATATTTTTATGTTATGCTTGTTAAATAATTTGTCATAAGGTATACTAAATTTGTACCCACTTTAGTTTGAAAAATAGAAGTTATGAGCCGTTTTAAAATTAGCAAAAACAAAACAATATAATAATTTTTAAAGATATTTAATTAATATTAACTGACTTAGAATGTAATTACATTTACACTACCTGTTTGGAAAGAAATATATTGCTATAAGTACACTCTAACATACATTTTAATACAAATCTTCTTAGTGTATATGTTAGTATTTATGTATGTAACCAAAACTTCTGTGCCATCTACTGAATGGCACCAAAAACAAAAAATCCATAAAAATTTAACACTTTGGATATTCCAGATTCAGACAATTAGAAAAATAATTGTGGTATGTGCAACAACCATTTCTTTATAATAAAACATAATTTTAAATAAAAGTACTCTCCTCACAACAAGAACATGACTTTCACTAGAACTGTACGTGAGGGCATGATTATGTCTTCACTGGTGTAATGTTTTGAAAAGTCTGCTAAAAAAAAATGCTTTGCAAAGTCATTTAACAAAGTTTATAATTTTATTGGATAGTCAACATGGTTTTACTAAGGGAAAATCTTGCCTTACAAATCTTTTAACATTCTTTTAAAAGGTTATTGTTTATGTAGATGAGGGTAAGGGTGTAGATTTGGTGTTTCTGAATTTTCAGAAAGCGTTTGACAAGGTGCCACCTAAAAGGCTTGTAAAAAATTTTGAGCTCTGTGCGTTGTATCATTTTGATGCAATTAGTCATGTATGACTAAAGAGCATAATCTGAACACTTTTCCCATGCAGTATTTTCCTAGAAAAAAGTTCTTTTTTTTTTTTTTTTTAGTAAAATGTTAGGGCAGTATTTCTGCTAGTATATCATAATGCCATCACAAATACATTTAGAAACGTATTTCACGATTAATTACTTGTGTCTAGAAAGTTTGTAATGTCTGAAATTATTTTTAATTTTTTAATTTTAAATATTATATATATATGTTTTATTACTGTAAACAAATCGGTACATTTATAGACACACAAAATCTGGTACATAAATGCTTATAAAAATAGTTTCTATAATGTATTTGATGTATTTTCCATATTCTTCTTGTTCTGTGATTACTTTTAAATATTATGTTGAAAAGCATACAGACCTGGGTGCTGCCTACTGGTTAGTGCACAAGACTGTGAGTCTAAGGGTCAAGTCCCATTGCAGTAAAATCATGTTGCCCACTTTGGGGCAGTGGGTGTATTATAAAGTGATGGTCATATCCCACTTTACAATCAGAGTAATCAATGGGTAATGTTGACTAGTCACCTTTCTTCTAGTTTACCAATTCTAAATTAGGAATGATAACCACAGATATAACAATTAACATAGATTGTGTAGCTTTTCTTTAATATAAATATACAAACAAAAAATATATTTGGTATATCCACCATACAAAATAATTGTTGAATTGCAATATTTAATAAGGTAATATATGTGTACCAAATACATGTCTATAACAATTGGTTAGAGAAATCTGTTAACGTTTGTGTTGCAATTACCCATGTTCTAGTATTGTGATCACGGTTATTATGGATAGAAACAAAACATACATTTTATATTTATGTTGTAGCATTTAACAAGAACAAAAATATATTTCAAAGGTTTTACAAGCATGACATGTGTATCTGGTACATGATTCATTTAATTGAAAATGTATTTTGGACACAGTTTCAGCTATGAATGTAATGCATATCGAAGGTATAAATTTATATTTTGCTGTATCTCTTATTTGCTATTATTCTACAAGGATACTCTCGAGACTTTTGCAACAATTTAACATAAAACACATCATGTTTAATTGTTGGAATCACTTGCAAATTTCAATAAAAGATATCCCACATTTTATAAAGCTGTTACTGAAAATAACATTGTACTATGTACAATACCACATATAATATATTCAGGTGAACTGGCCTTATATTGCTTGTATATATATTTGACTGGCTAAGACATATAGTTAACAAAATTAATTCTTGAAAGTTAAATCTGTTCAGTTGTAATTTATATCATGACTATTAAATTTTTGAAAATGTAACAATGTTTGTTTTCAAATATCATTTGAAGTTGAGATCTAGTTTCCATATATTTCACTACTGAGCAAACAAATTACTAATGTGTTGACCAAGTGACTTATATTTATTACAGTACTTTAGGTTAAGAGTAAAAACATAAAATTAGAATGTTTTTCAGTTTTCTTGTATAATTTGTTATTTTGACTTTATGAATAGCAATATTTTCTAGTGATGGTTTTTGTCTGAGAAGTTTCATAAATAACATGTCAGGATAAAAATATTTTTGGCTGGAGTTACAAAACATTTTTTTACTTTGACTACAATTTTGTTGCTGCTGGAGATTTCTTTAGGATTTTTCCTCAATACATACCAGAGTCCTATTAGTGTTAATTTGATTCCTCCATAGCTACGCTGATTCCAGAGTTAATAATTAACACTGAAGAACCCCCAGCATTCTACGAAGATGCTGCAGTGATTGTTCCTGTGGTAACATCTCTTGTGGTGATTGTATCAGTTGTTGTTTTAGCCCTTGTGGTATGTCAGAGAAAACATTCTCCTGGAGCTAAGTATCAAGGTACAGCTTTTAGGGCCTGTAATATATTTAGTGTATGTAATATAACTTTTCCCACAAATATAACAATTTGGTTTATTGCATTTCTTTACTTTATTTCTCTGATTTAAGATAGCACATAAAGTTTTTAGGTTGTCTTTGTGATGAAATAATTTGTTTATTTTCAACCTTAGCTTTTAGAGTTTTATCTGAAATTCTTTCCAATTCTTTTTGGCTAAGAGTTAATATTAATTTTAACTCCTGAGTAATGTGTTATTATAAAAGGAATAATTTGTTCTTATTTTATATTATCATTATTAATTTCCTTTTTAATCTTAACTAACTTAAAACCTCTCTCTATTACACTTTCTGGATAATAACATTTCCTAAGATAAGATTTCAATTCTATCAGTCTGTTTTTGTTGAACTTCCAAGTTAGAAAAAAATAGGAAAAATTATTTGAGCTAGGCCAAGTGGAATATTGAATTTAGTATGTATAGAATGATTACTATAAAAATCTAAATACTGGAGTGAATTAATAGGTTTGTAATATAAATCCATTTCAATCTTACTGTATTCCATTCTTATAATCCATATATCTAAAAAGGATAAACCTAAACTGCTCATTTTGAAGGTAAACTTTATGTTGGGTTAATTTGATTCAAATTTTCAAAAAATATTTAAAAATCAAATAATCTGTTCCATAATAGAAAACAATAATCTAGAAACCTTTTTCAAATTTTGATTTAAGTAATTAATATAAATAAATAATTTCAAAATAATTAGATAAACTATTGAACATTTCAATTTCAAAACATCCCATAATTAAAATGGCAAAAGCTGAAACCGCTTTTGTTCCCATTGATGTTCCAGAGATTTGTTGATGATATTGTCTTTACAAATAAAATAGCAATTACCTAAAATAAATTACATTTAATTATCACTTCTTTATTAAAATGTGAATGTAATAAGTCTGGGTATCTATTTAAATAATATTAAATAGCGTTTATACCATATTCATATTTGATACTTGGATAAAGAGAAACAACATCTAATGATATTAAAACAATATTTTTTTTCAATTTTCTCTGGTAAGTTACTAATAAAATCAATATTGTTACGTCTCCGTGTT